CAATAATGGGGCTCGAATTAGAATACAAATGGCGGGAACTCTTTGCAAAGTGCATTTCTGTGCTGCAAAGAAGAAATGCACACTGCAAAGAAAGCTACGAATTGGCGGGAAAATAATTCAGTGATGCCAAAGCACACAAAAACAAAAATCACAACTTTGGGTTGTGACAAGGGGCAGGAAGGCAGCAGGGATCATAGGATCCCAGCAAGATAAACATCGACATTTCTCTTGAAGGTGTTCAAAGTAGGTGCTTGAACCACCTCCGGCGGCAGCCTATTCCAGGCCTTGGGGGCTCGGACAGTTAAGTTCTTCCTTATGTCCAGCCTGAAATGATTGTGGAGGAGTTTGTGACCGTTTGACCTTGTCAACCCTTGGGGCTCTCTGGTGAACAGACGTCCCCCCAGATCCTGGTGAGCACCCCTGATAAACTTATAGGTGGCCACCAGATCACCCCTGAGCCTGTGCTTTTCTAGGCTGAAGAGTCCATAGCTCTCAGTCTCTCATCATACAGTATGTTTTCCTGACCTCTGATCACGTGCGTGGCTCTTGTCTGGGCTCTCGCAAGCTCCTCCACATACTTTTTGAATTGTGGAGCCCAAAACTGGATGCAGTACTCCAGCTGTGGCCTCACCAAGGCTGAGTATAACGGGATAATGACATCCTGGGATTTGCTCAAGAAGCATCTATGGATGCAAGCCAGCATTTTGCTCGCTTTACTAGCTGCAGCATCACATTGAAGGCTCATGTTCATCTTGTGGTCAATGATGACCCACAAGTCTCTTTCTTCCGTAGTGCTAGTCGCTGTAGCACTGCCAAGCCTATAAGGATGCTGCAGGTTTTTCCTCCCAAGGTGGGGAACCTTGCATTTTTCAGTGTTAAACACCATCAGGTTCTCATCCGCCCATTTCCTGAGCCTGTCAAGGTCAGCCTGGATCGCCCTCCTGTCCTCAGGTGCGGATGCTTTACCCCAAAGTTTGGTGTCATCAGTGAACTTGGCCAGTCCGCTTCTGACACCAATGTCCACGTCATTAATGAAGATGTCGAATAGTGCTGGCCCAAGGACAGAGCCTTGGGGGACACCACTGGTCACAGGGCACCATGACGATTGACTTCCGTCAGCGACCACCCTCTGGGTCTGACCACAGAGCCAATTCCCCAGCCAGCGGATCGTGGTGAAGCCAAGGCCACAGTTGGCCACTTTTGTAAGAGGTGATCGTGGGATACCAGATCGAAGGCTTGTTTAAAGTCAAGTATACAACATCAATCTCTTCTCCCTTGTCCAGGTGATAGGTCACCTGGTCGTAAAAGTAAATGAGATTAGTTAAGCAAGACCTACCCACAACAAACCCATGCTGGCTCTTCACCTAGATGTTTCCACAAAGAATAGCAACTGCTTAAATAGTACTGTAACTTCATATTCTGCTTAAGTGGGGAAAAAAAAAAATATATATAGTTTCTTGCTTAGGACCTTTACTGTTTGTGTCCAAAATTCTGCTAGCCAGTTGGACTGTTTTTGATGCATTCATGCTCAGTGACTAATTTTGGTCTTATTTTATAGATGTTTCTAAAAACTTTTGTGTTGGCATGTATATATATGATTTTGTGGTGCTGATGCTGACATTTTGTATAAGCAAGTGTACTTTTATCATTTCTTAAAGAATTTTAATAGATTGTTTTATGTTCCTCTTCTGCTTTCATTGTAGTTGACAATAGTTTTATATCTTATAAACAGGTGAAGATTAAAACAATGTCTGCTGAATTAGAGGAAAAGCAAAGAGAAAGCTTGAAGAATAAAGAAGCAGCTTTAAAGAGAATAGCTGACATTGTGGAACCACTGGCTGACCTGGAAGCAAAATTTAAAAAAAGTAAAAATACATATAAAGAAAATAATAAGGTGATTTTTTCTTAACTTCAAATGGTAATTTAGAATGTATCTCAAAATATTTGTGCTAGTAAAAATGTTTACTAAAACTTAGTGGTTTTTAATGACTAAATCAAGAGAACTTACGAGATTCAGCTTTTTAGGCTGCGTAGTTGTGCCTTATACTATATCTATCTGTATGGGGAATGAGAAATATACAACAGAAAAGCTAACTTGGAATTAATTAATTTCAACAGACATCTTGTCTCATTCTCTTCTAGCTTTTATGTTGTTTATTTCAGGAGAAAATTGAAGAACTATGTATAGCACAGGCTTTGTATATGTCTTCTCTAGATTATTCCTTAGTTGTAACTTCCAGACCTGAAACCAGCTTTTCAGTTGTTGCTTCTTGGTCACTCTTTTCTTCTCAGCCCAGTGGGTCAGAATGATGGAACAAGAAATTCCTCTGTCCAGGAAGGGCTCCATCAGAGCCAAGGGCAGGAAAAGGAAGTTGTGTGCCAGATCTTTACTCTGTTTCTGTGCTCCCATGCATTTTGGCTTTTTCAGATGCATCATACTTTTCCAGGCTCCATTTTTCTTGACAGCGAATTTTATCTTTGTTGTCTGAATGAAGGACCCTTCCTCATTCTTCAGTTTGGTGCCTTCCAGCGCACTTCTCTTGTCATCCTCAAAGGGAACAATGAGTAAATAGCCTTGCCTCTAATCAGCTGTTCACTGGTGGCTACATAGCTTGCTTTTCCACATTTGAAAAGTATGGTGGCAATGAGGTGAGGTGCTTTTCTCTTTATCCAGTAGGAAAACTGTCAGATAAGCAAAACTTCTATCCACTCCAATAAACAGGTCTGGCCCACAGGCCAAATCTGGCTGCAATCCCGCGGCATATGGCCTGTTGGAATCCCTATGGGTTGGACAAATTGGCAGATGGGAAGCGGTACAACTTTCATGAAACAGGGTCCAGCCCTGCCTGGGCAATTGCAACATGGCAGGATCAGGGCCAGGGCTGTCCACCATGCATCTGAATTGGACTGGGCTGCTTCATAACCCCACCCCGGGCTGTCTGGGCCAAGCTGCTCCCTGTTTTTCCCCCCCATGTGTCCATATTGGGGCCATTCCACCCTACCCAACCCTGTCCTGTCGGTCCAGATCAGGTCTGAGCTCCCCCACATCCTTCCCCTGTGCATCTGGATCAAAGCTGCTCTGCCCCTGCCCCAGTGTGTTCGGATTGGGACTGCTTCCCCCACCCCCTATATGTCTGGATCAGGGCTGGGTTGCTCTCCCCTCTCCCATGTATCTAGATTGGGGCTGCTCCACCCTGCACTCCCTGGTGGTCAGATCAGGGTCAGGCAACATAACTCTCCTGTGACTGGATGGGGCCCTGCTGTGCCAGCCAGATTTGACCTGTGGCTAGGCCTGGCACTGCCCATCTGATCCATGAAGCAAAACATTTGGGCACCATTGGTTTAGGTAAATAGAACAAATTACTCAGCCATATCCAAAGGGTGACAGGAAGGGAGAAATAAAAAGGCCACAGGCTGCCTCCTTCCTATAAGACATCAAATGCAATGTAATTTAAAGGTTGAGAATTAGGCATGTACTGCTTCATTTCCTTTCTTGAACTTCCTTGTAGGAGATAGGCTCAACAAGCAAAAGTTCCTTCAGGGCAAACCATTTCCAAGCCCACCCTGAAGAGAAACATCTTCTGCATCACTTATCAGGGGAGTTGGCTTTAGAGGATCTCTTGATTCAAAAACGTTCAGCCAGTATAATGAAACATATTGCACCTAATTACAAGTAATTAAAGAGAATACTTTTGTTGGCACTCTTCATAAAACATATCTGGGCAGCTGCCCAGAAGCAAAGTAAATTCTCTGTGTGGCTCTGATTACAGTAGCAGAACAGGTCGACAAGGCAGAGAAGGAACAAACACACAAAAACAGCACTAAACACAAAGAAAACCAATATTGGTGGTAAGGCCTAATGCAATTGTTATTTGAGAGTCAGGAAAATACTATAGCATTTGAGATATAGGCCTCCAGTACTATACCATCTGTAAAAATAACCAATATAATTGGGTGGGGTGGAAGGTGTAATGATGCAAGTAACCTGTCAGCTGGCACTGTTTCCAACTCTTCCTCATCTTTATTTTTCTGTAAATATTAATAGCATTTATGCCTCTGGCTTCATTCCTAAGAGCAGCCACACCACTTTTATCTTCAAATCCTTTATTTTCTTCTAATATTGAAATCCTTTTCAAGAAGAAAACATGCAAACAAAAAAAAAGAGTTGTGAACTGGATATACAACTTTTTTTTTTAATTACGGAAGACTCTATTTGTAGATCAGTGGTTCTCAACCTTGCTGGACTGAAGGCACCCATCAAAATGCCAGCTTTTAGCTTTCATGGGTGCTTGCACATGCAACGAGGGTTTAATTCTCCCTAAATTGAAATGGTGGGTTTTTAAAAACCCACTGTTTCCACTGTTTCAATGTAGGGAGAATTAAACCCCTGTTGTGTGTACAAGGGTGAAGGGGCCTGACCGCCCCCCCAGCCTATCTGCTTCTCCCACGGCCGGGCAGGGGAGATCTTGTGGCCGCCTATAAATTTATTAGGGGAGGTAAATGGGGAATAGGGGAAGCGCTGTTTACTAAGGCGCCCCAGGGAGTGACTAGGAATAACAGGTGTAAACTAGTTGAGAGTGGATTTAAGTTAGATATTAGGAAAAAAAAATTTCACAGTAAGGGTGGCCAGGATCTGGAATGGGCTTCCAAGAGAGGTGGGGCTATCACCTAGCTTGGAGGTCTTCAAGAGGAGGCTAGATAGTCACCTGGCTGGGGTCATCTGACCTTGGTCCTCTTTCCTGCCAGGGGCAGGGGGTCGGACACGATGATCCATTGTGGTCCCTTCCGACTCTACAATCTATGAATCTATGAACCCTCACCACAACTACATAATGGGTGGTGTCCCACTGGCTGGCACAGCATCTGAGTGAGATCTGGGGGTTACGATTGACCAGAAGATGAATATGAGCCAGTAGTGCGATGAGGTCACCAGGAAGGCAAGTAGAACCCTGGTATGCATCAGCCAATTTGTGTCCAGTAGAGCCAGGGAAGTGTTCCTCCCTCTCTATTTGGCACTGGTGAGGCCTCAGTTTGAGTACTGTGTCCAGTTCTGGGCACCGCACTTCAAAAAGGACATGGATAAGTTTGAGAGAGTACAAAGAATAGCCACCCACATGGTCAAGGGCAAGGAGGATAGGCCCTATGAGGAGAGATTTGGGGAATTAGGCCTGTTCAGTTTGAGTAACAGAAGGCTGAAAGGTGACGTGATAGCCACCTACAAGAACATCGGGGTGAACACCAAGATTTAGGTGAGCAACTCTTCAGGAAGGCACCTCAAGGGAGGACAAGGACCAACAGACATAAGCTTATAGAGGGTAAATTCAGACTATATATAAGGAAGAACTTCTTCTCTAAGGGTCGCCAGAATCTGGAACACACTCCCAGCAGATGTGGTGCAGTCACCATCCTTGGAGGTGTTCAAGAGGAGGTTGGACAGGCTCACCTTGTTGAGCTTGTCTGAGCCCAATAACTTCCTGCCCATGGCAGGGGACTGGACTTGATGATCTTATAGTTCCCTTCTGGTTGTACAATTCTGATTCTACGATCCTATGATACACACGTCCCTTCTCTTATTTAGAAGCAATAAAGAGCACCCATCAGTCCTAAACTTGTGATGAGGCCTATGCAGTGTTAGTTGAAAGCCTTGTGATTTTTTCCTTAGCAGAATCATTTAGTCTTTTGAGACTGTGCCACAAAAGGCCATAGCTTTTGTTATAGTGGATTATACTGAAGATTTATGCAAGGATGAGGAAACCCACCAACTATTCTCACCCTGCTATACTGCTTGCCATAGATGTTGTAATGCAGTGTAGTTCTCATTTAGATGATCATACAAATCACATTCTTGAAACTCCTGAAAAGACTACCTCATCAGTATACTAGATTTAAGCTTTGCCTATTCAGTTTTGGGGCCCCATACCTCAAGAAGGATGTGGAGAGTTTGGAAAGAGTCCACTACAGAGCAACAAAAAATATTAGGGGCCTGGGAGGCATAACTTATGAGGCAAGGCTGCAAGAACTAGGGTTATTTAGTTTGGAGAAGAGAAAATTGAAGGGGGATTTGATAACAATCTTCAAATACCTGAAAGATGACTATAGAGAGGATGGAAATGGGCTTTTCTCTGTGATACCAGGGTATAGGATTAGGAGAAATGGCCTCAAGATGCAGCAGAGAAAATTTAGGTTGGATATTAGAAGGAACATTTTGTCTATGAGGGTGGACAGGCAATGGAACAGGCTACCTAGAGCAGGAGATGTCAACTGGAGGTATTTGGAAGGGTGCTTGGGGGTATGTGTGGATGGGTGGGGACAGAGTGCCGCCACCCACCACCCGTGCTGCTGCCTCCCAGGAGCAGGGGGCAGGCCACGGGTAGTGGCTTCCCTCTGGAGGCCACACAGGTGCCACCTGGCTGACTGGATGTGGGGGGGGGAAGCTCACATGCAGCGACCACTACCGCTATCCACCACCATGCACCACTACAGCTGCATGCAGTCCCCCCCTCCCTGCCACACTCTGTGTCTGGCCACTGCCACCAGGAGGGGTACACTCCTTAAAAAAGTTTGATAACCCCTGACCTAGAGAAACTGAGGAGTTGCCATCCTTGGAAGTTTTCAAGAGCAAGATAGAAAATTGGCTGCAATAGTTTAGTTGTGGATAATCCTGCTTTAAGTAGGGGCTGGTTAAGATGATTTTGTGAGGTCCCTTCCAGCCTTGCTTTCCTCTGATTTTTCATAACTTTCCTTCTTTTGATCAGTGTCAATGTGCAAAGCCTTGCAGACAATTCTACTGCCATATATTGTGTAAACATGCAGGCAGAAACAGTAACATGACATAGGGTGGGTGAGCGGGATGTGCTCAGAGTGCTGGGAAGGTGTGGGAGGTGGCAGCACTTCAGTCTTCCTTGCTCATCTTGCACTTTCTGGTTGCATATTTCAGTGGCATGGGCTATTTAGGTCATGGAATCCAAGGTGTTCTGGAAAACAGTTTCATAGGGTGTCAGTGGAGTTTGCTGCTGCTGGGGGGAGCACTGACCCTGTTTGGGGGTTTTTTTGCTGTTGAAATCAGCAATATTTTGTCCTCCCGACATGGTCTTCAGTGGCAAAAAAAATGGGGTCAAGATCTCCCATCTCCTCCAGCAGCAGTGAGTTTCACAGCCATTTTAGAGAACTACCATTCCCAGAATACTTTGCACTCTGTGACATTGCCCCTGATGTTGCTTGTTGCTGCTCCTGAATGTTGCCTAGTGGAGGAAAGGTAAGAAAAGACTTCCTTGAGCACATTTTGCCCATGTTATGCCTCTAGGCAGAGGCTTGCTTTCATTGTACCAGCCAAATATTTTTTTGAATACGTGAGAAGAGAGATGATGATTTACATGTCTGACAGAAAACAACATGAATTTAAACTGCAGTAAAAAGCATGAATTGTCTCTCAAGATCACAGCTTTAATTTTATCATAGTGTGAACTTCTCCAAAGGATATCTTTGTTACAAAAGAGAATGCGAAGTATTTTCATTCTGTGCTAGTCAGTACAGAACTTGGCCATTGAACTGAGGCTGTTGTAGAGGACTGGCCCCAAGAGTTTCTTGATGCCTTCAATGCTTTTGCTACAGCCAGGTTTCAGAAAAATCTTGTGAATGTATTATTTTCAATTTGGATATGTGAATTTTGGTTCTCAAACTGAACCATGGGTATAAGAACTTCCATGACCTCTTTCAGCTCAATCTTTTGCTGTCAAATTACAGTTGGATTCTACTGTTTAGCCTTGTGTCCACTGAAAGGATTTTCTATGCAGACTCACCTTTGTTTTCATTCTTAGTACAGTTTGCTGACTATTGAGTAAATAACCTGTCAGTCCAGACCCTTTACTTTCTCTGTGGCTGCCAGGCTGTGGCCTTAAACTTGGGGCCTTGACCTTCCCAGAACAGCTGCTCGTCCTGGTCTGCCCCCTCTCCAACTGATGAGTTATGGTGAGCAAGCTGGCCTAAAACCTCCGCCCAGATCTAAGCATCTGCCCACTCCCTGCCAGAAGAGCAGCTGACCCATCACTCCCTCCCATATAAATCCCTGACCCAGAAGAACGTGTGTCTGAATAACAGGGCTTGACCTGATCCCAGACTGCCTTACTGTTCCCTCTACCTCATGTTCCTCATCTGCTTCTGGTCTGATCTCCTGGCTCTTCGGCCCAGCTTGCCTCTGACTGCGTTCTGTGTGATCCTTTGGCTTCCTGGTTCAGTTCGTTCCCAGACCCAGTTCTTGGTTTGAACTCTTGCCTTCCTGACCTGGCCTGAACCTGAATTCTGTTTGCTCCTCCTGACCCTGGTCAGCACTTTGTTCCTTGAGTGGCCCCTGACCTAACTGCCTGTGACCTGGCACTAGTTTGCTCAGACTGAATGCTCTGTGAAGAGGGGACAGCATAAAACATAATTCCGTGCCAGAGTGTTCGTACCCATCCAACTTGATGGCTACAACTTGGGGTGTCCCCAGGCCAGACCAGATCAGTTGACTCAGTTAGCCTCTTCCCATTATACTGGAAGTCCAGGTACAGCAGTTGCTTGCAGAAAGCCAGTCCTTCCAATCCCAGGCAGTGTACCACCAGGAGAACCAACAACACTGGTGTGAGGAGGCATGAGGGCTTGTGGGAGGCTATTGCTGCACTCCAGGGCCATCCAGAGGAGTCCCCTGCCTGTCTCTTATTACCCAAAAGGTTTGATGGGGACCTGCAACACTTCAGGAGCTTCCTTATTCAGTATTGCATTTTATTCTTAGTCCTGCTCAACACTTACAAGGAACAGGCAAGCCTTATCTTAAGTCTTTTGAAAGGGCATGCCCTCAACTGGGCCTCCCTGTTAATGGATCATAGCAGCCTTGTCCTTCAGGACTGAGAGGTATTCCTGCAGGAGTTTGACTTCAACTGGGCCTGGACAGCGAAAATCACACTAAGAAATCTCTGGCAGGATACTGCCACTGCCTATGCATCTCTTTTTTTTTTTCTGCTGCTATGCTGCAGATGCCCACTGGAATAGGGCGGTCCAGGATTACCAATTCCAGTAGTTGCTCCAGGAGTGGAGGGAGCAGAAGAGGGATTTGCTGCTCATACTGGTTCTTTACCCCACTGTTGCTAGTCCAGAACCCAACAGTGGCGGACACTGTTGCCGTAACTTTTATATGATCAGGAATGATGCTGCTGATGCGAGCCAGGTTTCCATGGGAGAGATTCAAGGACACAATTATGCCCTGTGCCTCAATGGTAGGGATGACACACTAGGCATTGTGCTTTCACAACAACAGGGTGTGAAAAAGGCCTTCACCCCTGCACCTTTTTGTTCCTGCAAGCTCACCCCAGCAGAACAAAACTATGAGACCTTGAAACACAAACCCTTGGCCATCAGAGCAGCTTTTAGGGAGTGGCATCATTACCTTGAAGGACTATACCATGAGGTACAGGTTCTTATGGGCCATTGAAAGCTGGAATACTTTTGAAAGGCTACTTAATCAGAGGCAACTCTGGTGGACATTCTTTTTTCTCTCAATTCAGTTTCAACACAGCTTACCAACCCAGGCCTAGAAATGGGAAGTCAGACACCCTGTGTTGGAAGACTGTATGGTACAGACTCGTCTCAAGAGCCATCAGAACCCAGGCCTATTCTGAAGCCCCACAACTTAATTGGTGCCACATGACCAACAGACATGCTTTCTCTGCCTCTTGCTACCATCTGAGAGAAAATGCTCCCAGAAGAGCAAGCTGTCTTTGCTGAATAACCATACCAGGTCCAGAATGGGGTCATATTTACCTGGGTTAAGGTCTATGTATTACCAGGTCAGGTGAGGCAACCTTCTTTCACCTAAGTCATGACCCCCAGTTAGCAGACTACCTTGGAACTGAGGAGATCAGTTGGTAGGTCTTTTCCTACTTTTGATGGCCATGGACGTGGAAGGCAATGCAGCCTTTTGTCAGTTCTTGCAATGTTTGTGCCCAAACTAAGAGACTCAGTCAAAGACTGTATGGACTCCTTCAGTCCCTTCTCACTCTGCCTGCCATAGTCTGTCATATCTTTGTACTTTATTAGAGAGCTACCCACATCAAATGGTTGTTCTGTGATCCTGACAGTAACAGATCAGTTGACTAAATGGCCGATTTTATCCTATGCACAGGTGTTCCCTCAGCTAAGGGGAGTGCCTGACTGTATAGGTTGTCTCCATGGCCTTCTGGACTGAGCATCTGAATTGCATCTGCTCACAGTGTAACTCTTCAGTCCGGTTTTCCACTGACTCTGCACTCTGCCTGATTCTTCAGCTCCCCAACTCAGCTCATTCCCAGACCCAGTTCTTAGATTGACCTCGTAGCTTCCTGACCTGGCTTATACTTGGATTCTGTTCACACCTCCATGCTCCGAACAGCACCTTGTCCCTGAGTGGCCCTTGCATCTAAGCCCCAGGAGCACACAGGACCGTGTTCAGCTATGCAACAATTCAAATATACAATAAAAATAAAAGTAAAAAATATGTTAAAATTGCTGATATGTATTTTTGATGCAGGTATAATATATCAAAATGGCTCCATAAAATTACAAAAAAGATATTTCTAATAGCTAATAGTATTTTCAAAACAACGTATTAATGTCAGTGAGTAATGTTGTTAGCCCTTCCCCAAGTAAAATTTAGTAGAAACAATGTGACAAAGATCACATCGTTAGTCTTCTAGAGACTTAGAGGGGTGTGGTTTGAGTTATGTATCATTGTCTTTAGCTGTACATTTGTTTCGGTCTTAAAAGCTTGGATCAAAGTTTGCACAAGCTGATTTATATGTGAATAATGTGCAAAAGATGCTGGTAATTTCAAAGAAGAGATGAGACTGATTAAAAGTTAAAAGTATTGTTGCTGAATGAGAATATTAATGTTTTTATTTAGTGCAAGTAGTTACACACAACCTATAATTTTAAAAAATCTTCAAAGTAAAAACTTTAAGTAACTACCATTTTACATTTTTGTTTATGAACAGAGTAATTTACAAATGTTATTTATTGCAAACATTAGTAATAACTTGGATAATGTAATATTTTGTATTTATGATGCAAACATTTAGTACAAAATGAGACATCTAAAATTAATTTTGTTCATATGCTAATTAATAACAGACTGGATTAATGAGCAATGTAGAAGCAGAGATCTCAATACATTATTTTCTTCTACCAGTTTTTTGTGGCTGTCTTAAGTGGTATTCCTTGTGTTAGTTTGTAGTCACTAAACCTTAAGTGTTTTTTCTTCCTTTCCTACTATTTTCATGCAAACTATTCAAAATACACATTTTGAATACAGAAAATCTACTCATTAGCTAGCAAAATAAACTCACGGAACCATGAGGAGGAAAGGCTTTTGTGAAGCAGTGATATTCTGTTATATGACAATATATAGTATGTGAACCAATGTAGCTATTTTGTCTGTTTTAAAATGTGTTATGTAGTTGAAAATATATCAGAAATCAAACTCCTGAATGTACAGTATGGCTAAAGAATGAACCACATGAAATAATAGTTGCTTTAGGGAAAATAGGAATGAACTTATAAATGGTAACTTTTAAAGAAAAGTATTTAATGGCTAATATATTTTACAATTTCTGCAGAAATAAGGGCAATTACTTTTGCATACTAACACATCTCTCTATGCATATATTTTCCAGAAACTCTCCAATTTGAATCGAAGGATACAAGAGCTAGATGAACAGCAGAAACAAGCAGAACAACAATTGGAGCACAGAAAGAGTATTGTGCAGAAACAATTAAGTGATACACAGGTGAATAATTTAATATCTGGAAGTTATTTTGAACTAGGTTTAATTCCAAAGGTTTGCCTGTCATTTCTACTCAGTTGCTTTAGATGTATATGCATATTCTGCATGTACTATTTTCTCTTTCCTGCTTGAACTAACCTATCAGGTCCATAGCCTTGAGACAGGGTAAAGTACAAAGCAGAATTGATATTGAGGTCATTGAGAAGTCCTCCGCTTTCTTCATTTGCTACAGTGGCTGAGATTGCTTGGGGGGCTTTAGAAAAGCAATGGAGAAAATCAATAAAGAAAGAAAAAGATTTGGGCTGTAATAGAAACTGCCTGCTGATTGCACTTTTGCTCAGCAGATGGCATCTTTTTGTAAATGATGGCTTATATTTGCTATATTAGTTACTAAACTGTATAATCTACCAAAGGGAATTATTTGAATGTTATTACTGAACACTACATTTTATATAAGTACGGTTATAAGCATTTGTAAGAAACAAGCATTTTCTTTTAGGAATTTTCATTGTTGTTATCCTTTCATTACTATAGTGTATATAAACTTTAGATAGATATTATGGTATCAAAGATGAGTTATATAGTTTATAGGTAAACAAAGAAAATGTTTTTACTTTATCCAATGTAGTCTTTTTATTTCATGCATTTAGTAGTTCTGGTGAGGAAAACTTCTGGACTATCATCCCCTACAGAGGAAGAACTTAATTTGAGGGCTTGATTATTTTCTCATGTTGCTACATTGAAGTGGGAGGGCAAAGTTTCTTTCCTCTTCTTCAAGTTGTAGTGCTTGAGATCTACAAAAGAGACCAGGTGTTTTTCAGTGGATCTTCAAATAGCTGCAGAAGGCTGAAGTATTAGCACGGAGTTCCAATGACCGCACAGCTCTCTAGTATACTTCTTTCCAATGCTAATACTACTTGCCTTGGCTCTCTGTTTTCTCCCAGCCCATCATGCAGATTTGTTGATGGAAGGTGCCAGAGACAGTACAACTTCTGACCTTGCAGAGTCAAAAGTATATGATTCTCTCAAGGTGAATTATATTTCTGGAAAAGACGTGATGTTTTAAGTAGGGTTAGCAAACGAGTTAGTTGACTGGTGAATTAATGTCAGTTGACTGGTCAATTTACCACCTATTATTTGACCACAGTCAAAATATTCCATGAAATCAAGACTCTACTTGTGTAAGTGGTAACCTACCTTTTTATTGCATCATGGCGAGGGCTTCTTGCCCCTCAATCCTGCATGAATCGGGATACTCACAGGTAGAGACATGCATGCACACACTCCATTTAGGAGTAGGCATCCTGTGTCCTATTCTTTTTTCCTGAGATCTCCCTGCCTCCCTTCCTTTCCCTCTATTAAGCCATGTGTGACTGTAGGCCTATTTGTTGTGTAGTGACAGCAAAATTAATCCCATCAGGAATTACAAGCCCCTCTCAAAGGCTAGATGGAGACTACTAAGTGCAAACAAGAGATTCCCTGGGACAAATGACAGAACCGAAATGAGGGTGAAGGTTAGAAGTTAATGACCAGCCAGTGTCCATTACTCCCTAAAGGCATCTTAGGAGCCGCCCAGTGAAACTGCTCAGAGACACTTATGGATAGGAGAAAGAAAGATAGTTAGCCCTGCATTTGCTCATGTTCCATGTCACCACCATCTCTTTTCTGGTGAGGTAAATGGACATATTGGCTAAGACCAGAAGGGAGATTGACCAAAAGGTCCTTGGATTTTGTGAGGCTACAAACGAACTGCCTGTGCTGAGGGAGGAAGTAGAACCAGCAGCATGGAAAAGATTCTCCTGCTGGCCATCTGCTGTAACTGCAGACCTCTCAGAACAGGAAGAGAAACACTTGGTTCAGGGAGTAGGAAGTAGGAAGGCAAACCTGTACAGAAGCAGTCATCTGATGTAGGTCACAGGTGCCCTTGGGCCCAGTCCAGGTGCTGTGGGGAGGAGGGGCTACCAAGGCCTTCCAGGTGGACTGGCCATCTGTTCTGGGAAGTCCTTGGAAGCACTGGACTCTTGAGTTTTCTAGGAGATAAAGTAGCTGTTAGAAACAACTGAAGGCTATAGGTTGAATTGAATACAAGAGATACTGTGAGAGTGGCTATCCCACAACTCTCCATACTCATTTTTTTAAAGCTTTTTAGTCAAAAGGTACATGGAAAAATGGTTAAAGCTCACTGCAAGTTCTGTTCTTTTGAGTATGTAACACATGCAGATAGAATGGAGAAACAGCTGAAAGGATAAACTGGTCTGCATTACAATTTGTTTTTCCTTCACATTCTCCTTCTACTTCATCCTCAGTAGCAACATCTTCACAAAGCACAGTGTCTTTTAATGAAGGTACGAATGATAATGGAAGTGAAGGTAGTTCAGTTTCTACATAGCCCAATAACATTTTGCTACTCTGTGTGTTTCAGTATCAAGAATTCCTGAAAAATGTCACTAAGCTAGTAGTATGAGTTTTTTAGATCACATGTCTGATGACCAGAAAAATGAATTTGATTTGTATAAATTGCCAGAGATATTTATGCCAAGAATATACCATTTCAGTTAGCTGAAAATTGTTATGCGCTAGAATTTTTTTAATTGTGTTGAATTTGCAAAATTCCAAGTAGCAAATGGCTTACAGGAGCTGTTCTAAATGCTGGACTGGAAAATGTGAAAAAGAGAGTTAGTGTTCTTATTGCACAAGGTCCTCATTTGTCCTTACTGTCTGGTGGATGGAGCAGAATTCACACTGAAGGATGTCATTACCTTCATGGTAACAACTCCAGACTCAGACTTACTAATTCTAATGCACAACTGAGCATCGCTGCACAACCCAATATATTGCTCACCAGTTTAAAAATATCATCAATAAATGGGTTTACAGAAGATTATTTCAGTTATAACTGACAGTGCGACTAATAGTTACCCAAGCCACCTCTCACAAAGTGCCAGCTCATAGTTTTCACTTGTTTTTTTGACTATGAAAAAATACCAGAGCAGTTGTTCTCTGGCAAAAAACTCAGAAAGACCACTACAGGTCAGACTGTTTTTGGCACTGTGGATTCCTATTTGAAATCTCTGGGTTTATCTTATGAATCATGTGTAGGTGTTTGCACAGCTACCAGTACTAATACTGTGCACTCTCTGTGGCACTCCTAAAAGGATCACATAGCACCCCAGGGTACCATGACGTCCTAGTTGAGAATCCATTGTACTAACATACAAGCTGCCTAGGCTTTGTTGATAAATTAGTATCCATACTTGTTTTCTGGATGCCCATGTGATGCAGCTCTTCATTCATGATGCTGAAGATCTGGCAACTTCCTCATCACAGGTGTCAAAACTGAACAACATTTTCAAGTTTTTCAAAAATAAAAAAGTACCAACAGCTGTATTTGAGTGTCACTTAGTACAGCGCTTAGTTGTATCCACACTGAGTAAGCTGCATCGTACTCACTGGGCATCCTATATTAAATCTCTCAGGGATCTTCAGAAATGCCAGAAAGCACTTCAATCACCTACTGTTGAAGAAGGTATGGTGAGGTTTTGCCCTCAGACAAACCACAGTTGACTTTCTTGATGATCATGTTTTCTAGCTGAGAAAATTTATTTCACTGCCTGAGTTTGTTGCTCAGTTTGTTCACAATACAGAAAATGATAGCTCTATATTGTCTGATGCCAAGAATGAGTTCCTGATCGTTAAGAAACATATTTACAAGAATACTGAACAAAGTCCGCTTACAAAAGTCTAAGTGGGAAAAAAAACCCAGACAAGATATTATCAGAGAAAATCAAATGATCACTCCTCCACATAATGTTGCCTACATTTTTGATCCATGTTTCTAGGGCTGTGATCTTTCTGATGATGAATTTAGTCCCGCTTGCAGCCTTATATTGGCTGTTTCAAGTTTTAAAAGATATAAAAGCAAAGAAATAATTCTAGTGGAGGTAGCAAATTGTAAAGCAGACAGAAGCCCATTCAGTTGTAAAACAATATGGAGTGCAGTCCTAGCAGTTGAATCAAAACAGCTTGCCTCTTCATCATAGTAGAAAGAGTTGTATCCTCCTTGCTGACTAGCGAGTATGGTAGAAATGCTTTTAATGCTTCCAGGGATATATGTTGTAGCTGTGTTGGTCTAAGAAACAGAGACAAACAAAACTCTTGGGTTAGAAGTTATATCTTTTATTAGACCAACTAAATAGTAACCAAAAAAAATCTTTCTTTGCAAGCTTTTGGGTCCAAACTTCCTTAGTTAGGCTGAGGAGGATTCAAAGATTGTAAGAATTCTCCCATGTAGGAAAGAAACTTCATTTTGCACAGGGGAGGCAGAGGGTGGAAGTTTCTTTCCCCTTGGATTTTTTCCTCTGAGTAATCCAGGGGGAAAAACTTCCACCCTCTACCTAACCCTGTGAAAAATGAAGTTTCTTTTCTACTTGGGAGAATGTTTACAATCTTTGAATCCTCCTCAGCCTTATGAAAGGTATTTAGACCCAAAAGCTTGCAAAGATAATTTATTTTTGCTACTATTTAGTTGGTCTAATAAAGGATATGGCCTCTAACCCAAGAGTTTTGTTTGTCTCTCTAACGCCTCCATGTGCTACTATATGTGCAGAATGAAATTGGTCAGTGTAACAGGCTTGGAGTATCCAACTTTCCCCTTGTGGTCAGACTCATCTGCCAGTGCTCCCCAGCCTCCTCTACCTCCTGTCTCACCTGCTGCAACTTTATCTTAATACATATTTAAGGGAAAGCTGCCTCCAGAGGTTGGGGTAACTTCTTTGGTGTTTTCTCTTCTTTTAGTGCTAGTTACTCACCCCTACCTCAATCTGCGGGGGTACTCTGCCCAAACTCCATGGGGTGCACTTTCCCTTCAAGATGACCTTAATCATGCCTTATGGCTATAATTTTGGGCTCCAGCTGCCCCCATAGCCATGTCCATACCTCAGAGATGACTCTGTTGCTACTTGGAAGGAACCTCCAGGCTCCAAACTAACACTGGGCCCTTCAGA